TTCACTGTGTTAGCCAGAATGGTCTCGATCTCCTGACCTCATGATCCGCCCGCCTCGGCCTCCCAAAGTGCTGGGATTACAGGTGTGAGCCACCGCACCCGGCCTCAGTGTCTATGTTTCAAATATGTTTCTGTTTGAATAAATATGATGCCAGAGTTTAAAACAAACTAAAGTGTCTGAAAACAGCAAAAATTAGTTGCATATTTTTTTTTTGCCACTGTCAATCCTGAATGTCCTTGCTGTAAATGCATAATTTTGCAACAGTTTAAATTTATATATATATATATATATATATATATATATATATATATATAAAAAAAGATGGCTATTGTCTAGGACTAAATTGCTCAAACTTTTCCTCTAAAAGTACCCAGATTGCCTAATGGAGTGCCCTTACTGCTGGGGCTCAGGGACAGAGCAGGAAGAAGTCTGCTATGAACAAGACATTTCTTTGAAATTTTATACCTTACACTTAGAAATTAAAATATATTTTGATTTTTATGTCACAATTTAGCTGTGTTTATAGTGATATTGAATTAATATAAATGATATCTTTCTTGGCTATCATCACCCAAATCTCCTTGTAAAAAATCAAGCCCCCATGAAAATGGGGATTTGTGATTACCCCGTGTCTGTGTCTTCTTTTGCCCTCTGTCCACAATCACTGTCTCCCAGTTTGAGAAGTATGAAAATAGTGGAGGTATGGAGCTCATTAAAAACTCAAAGAAACATCCTAAAATGTTTTTAAAAGGCTACATAAGCCAGGCACAGTAGATCATGCTTATAATCCCAGTATTTTGGGAGTCTGAGGCAAGGGAATCACATGAGCCCTGGAGTTTGAGACTGGCCTGGGCAACATGGTAAGACCCATCTCTAAATAAAACAAAACAAAACATAAATTAGCCAAGCATGGTGGCACATGCGTGTGGTCCCAGCTATTAGGAGGCTGATGTGAGAGGATTCCTTGAACCCAGGAGGCAGAGGTTGCAACGAGCCAAGATTGCACCACTGCACTGCAGTGTGAATAACAAAGCCAGCCTCTGTCTAAAAAAAAAAAAAAAAGCTATATACTTTTCATGGAAAACTGTGAAAATTTTTATCTCTGCATTTTTGGAAGTGAAGAGTAAAAAAACATATCTATATGACAAGTATATGGATACCAGTTTTTTGTTGTCGTTGCTTGTTTGTTTTTACTTTTTTTTGAGATTGAGTCTCACTTTGTTGTCCAGGCTGAAGTACAGTGGCATGATCTTGGTTCACTGCAACCTCCATCTCCTGGGTTCAATTGATTCTCCTGCCTCAGCCTCCCAAGTAGCTGGGATTACAGGCATGCACCACCGTGCCCAGCTAATTTTTGTATTTTCAGTAGAGACCCGGTTTCATGGATACTTCTCTATCCATATATTTTTAACATAGAATGGATACTGTTATCTATTAGTGTTTCAGAATGAATGTCTGCAATTGTGTTTCTGGGAATTCTTAGAGCCCAGATCTCGACACAAGACAGACAATTAGAACAACTTACCTAATTGTCTGTTTTAACATCATATTAGGAACCTTTATTCTAAAATATTAAAATGGAACTTACCCTGACTAGATGTCTTCTTGATTTCCCTAGTTCTGTTACTGGTACTAGCAGACACCCAGGCTCAGAACTGGAGAGGATTCTTTTCTCTGCTCCCTCACCCTTTCACCCTATGTTCAGTTAAGGACCAAATTCCACAGATTCTGCCTCTGCAGAGTCTTCTCATTGCTTTCTCTTCCTACCACCTCCAGGAAGTGGACTTTCATTACCTACCACATTAGCCAATCCTAACTGGTATTTCTGCTTCTCCTTTCACCCTGCTATACAATCTATCCTCCCTGTTACTGACATACTCATCTTTTTAAAACCCAGAGTATAGCAAATCATTCTGCACTGAAACAGCAACAACAAGCAAACAAAATATAATAGACAAAGCTTAGCAGCTTTTAGTAGCAAATTAAATAAAAATCCCTCCTGGAGTATAAGGCATGGTTTCTAAATTACTCACTTTAGTCTCTTCTTCCATAGACCCCTGTTTAGGTAAATTTTGACTGACTTGTTGTTTCTTAAGAATACCACAGATTAGCCAACCCACATGCCTTTTCCTCCTCCTAGAATTTCTACCTGCCATTTTTCTATCTCCTTGAGTTATATCTAATGTGGATATCTTTGAAATTCAGTGTGGCTATCTTTGAAATGTCTCTTCCATTGTCGTCCATTTTTTATGCTAGTCTCTGCCTTAATTCAGGTACAGTGTCCAATAACATTTTGTTAAAGCAAACCGGATGGAAAAGTAATTCAATTTTTTCACCATTTAAAAAAATAATTCCTGAATGCTTATTAGGTACTAGGATCTCCGGAGCTGGGCATACAAATTCAATAAGGCATTTGGTTACAGAACACAAGAATATCACTACAGTATTTTCTGTATATTTTCCAGAAAGCAAGAATCCAGAAATGCAATGCTGTTCTGGAGACTGTCTACATGAAAGGGCTATTCCCCTGGTATGACATTAACTAGTCACAAGAGTTTTAGGGATATATGAGTTGGCAGAATATTATCATAGTGTGTAGACTTTGGGGAGTGTGTTAGGCTTAAAGCCTCAAGCAAAGATGCTTTCCGAAGTCCAAGAGGCAGTCTGTCAGTGGCAAAATGTTTAAGCTGGCCATTGTATGATAAAGCTTGCAGGGGGAGCAGGAGGGTCAGAGAGCTTGATAAAAATTTAATTAATCTAGCCTGAATTAAGAGGGGGACAAGCTGGACTTTCCCTCAAGAACCACCCACAAAATATTAATAGATTGTATTACAATTCATTAGCATTTATATCTGGCAATAAGTTTTCTAAACACAATCCATGAAATATCGGCCACATAACTGCTATGGCACATAAAACTAAGGGAAATAGCTCTAAACAATTTGTAGGGTAAAAGTAATGTCTCAAAGTTCCCACCCGCCCCCACCGAATTTTGATACCTATAGTAAACATGCAATGATTACAGCAATTCAAGAGCTAAAGACATGTCTGGGGTTCTCGTGTTGCAATTTCTCTTCTTTATCAGGAAATGTTTTATTAACAACATGGTTTTATGGGTGGAATACTAAGCATAGAAATAAGTATAAGCTTAAGGAATCTGCTACCAGTTGCCATAGAGAATAGATGAAAAAAGAACAGTTTCTCCAATGCTCCAAGTGACACAGTATGATTAGATTTCTTTTCAGTGTTTGTGATTACATAACTTAGGCTGGTTGAATTAAGGCTTAATTTTAGATCTAGTTTTTTTTTTACTATATTTTGCCACTGATGACTAGGTGAGTTAATTCCTTCCTCCTCTCTTTTATACTAACATAACAATTTATTGCTTTTAGACCAGGATATATACTGTCCGATTCTCTATTTCTGGCTACCTGAAGAATTAATATTAAAAAGCCATAAAATATCTGTTCTTGAAAGGCACTAAATAATCTAAAGGCAAAGATTGCTGAATATTGTCTATTCAAATTTATATTCTTGATACTTTTATGCTAAAAACTTTGGATGCAATAAAATATATATTCAGTGCTAAGTTACTACAATGAGGCTGCATCAGTATTAAAACTTTCTATTTAATCATAGATAAAAGATTCCTTATCATTACTTTGTATCTTGTAGTCTGAAATGTTACTGAAAAGAACCAGTTATCCTTGGACTCCATTCAGGGTAAAACCATTGTTGACCATTGCAGTAAATAAAAACAAGTCTTAGTTTTGACACATGATGTACATTGTAGAGCTACAACATTCATCTAAATAAATGAAATGACTGAACTAGGAGTAGTTAGCATGTCCTGGGAAGCTTCTGTAATTTTAGGAGTATCAATTAAGAGTATTGAGTTCTATGTATGTATCACAAGGGTACAAATATACTGGAGAAATATGTAATGTATTGTATCCAATTATGTTAGCAGACTATGAATCATATTCAATTATCAACATACATAAGTACATTTTATATGATGCTTAAATATCATTAATTTTCTGTTTAGCATAACCTCCTCAGACGGTATGATTTCAGTAATTTGCAGTAACAGTATTATAGCATCAATATAAATTCAATGTAAATTGGAAAATGAAAATTTTCATCTTGTTTGTATCCGTGAAAGGGCATTTACTAAACACAGGAACACATTGAATCAATAGCTTCTATTGAGAAAAAAAGCATCTGAATGTACCGCAGAGAACCTAAATAGCAGGAATCAGAAGATGAAACAAGTAATTTTCAGAGAAAGCCTAGCTAACCAGCCTAAGCATGTTCACAGGATCTCTTCAGGTAGTCACTGAAGTAAAACCAAGAAAATTGCTTTAAATATAAAAATCAGGAAGCTGACATTCCCCCTCCCTACAAACAATCAACCAGGTTCAGCTCCTAACATAAATTGTTCACTTATCTTAGTATGTATAAAACAGATTCCTCACTTGTCCAGAAAATCTGTTTAGCATATACTTAAAGTAATTCAAACTTTAAAAATTTCATGCTATACAAGATAAATTTTAATTAAAATGTTTGACTTATTTAATTAAATTAGTACATAATATCCTTACATGGCTGCATAGAGTCCTAATCTTTAAGTAATTATATATCAATTTTGAATTCAAGTAATTAAAATTCTAAAATAATTCATATAAACTTACCTCAAAGTCAAGGTCTGAATATCGTGATTTTCTTCTCTGTAAGATGTATTTTTAAAAAGAAGGAAAAAAAACCAATAAAGTTATGTTTAGTCACTCAAACAAAATGAAAAATCATCATTTTCATTAAAGATAATCCTGCTTGTTTTATACATATTTCCTTCACATAAGGAAAAATGTAAAATATTATGAAATTTTATGAATCATGAAAATTTTATGATTTTGAAATATTCTGTTCACAATTTTCTATTTTTACTTTGAACTTCTTTTAAAATTGAAGAATATAAAAATACAGAATATTTCTCATTTTGACCTCTTAACCCAAATTTTTAGTAAGGAGAAATTGTTCCTATGAAAACTCAGACAGACATTTCAATCTTGAAAGAGACTTTAGGCTTACTACAGCAAAACTACAGACAAACAGGATTAAAAGTTGTATAGGAAAAATTGTCTAGTTACCTTGACATCTTCAACCAACATCTAGTTTTCATTTCTACCAAATTCTACCCAATCCTCTGAGTCCCAAAGTTCTTCATAAGTCTCACCCACATATTTCTTGTAATTTGATAGTCCTCCATGACAGAAAAGTCCTTCTCATTGCTAGTCCTGAGGAACGAACGTATTTGTTCTAGTTCAGCAAAACAAACTATTCCACACCCCAGTAAAATGTCGATGTACATGTAAATGTCTCACAGTGTTTCTCTATGGCTCCATCTTTGTTACACAGTTTCTGAAATCTAGTTATAGATAAAATGCATTAATAAAATAATGAAGACTGATACAACCAGAAAACAGGATTAAAATGAAATTAATACAATTCATGTGATATGATTTTCATGATATTAGTATAAAGTATTCTTAGCAAACTTTTAGTATAGATTTTTAAAATTTTGAATTTTTTGATGAGAGAGGGAATGAAACAGGGAGAATTAACAAACAATTAAAGTATGCAATATTCAGGTAGTTGGAAAAATATATAAACCTTTGGGCAAAATTTTGTTTCATTTTTCCCGTGCTCCCATCCCAAAACCTACAAACTTCGATAATTTAGTAGGAAACCATACCCAAGATAGGTAGGAGACTCTAGTCTGCATTTTAACTGTTGAACATTAGGAGAGACAGAAAAGAAGCATTAATGTAGTTTCTTGAAAACTATGATTAAATTTCTGCAGCTACAGTTAAAATTGTCACGACAAAATCAGAACCTCACTGTATACCTAATCCCCAAACCATGTTTCAGTAGACAAAAGGGGACATGCCAAAAGAAAGGTTTCATGTTTTAAGTGAAAACTTCCTGAAATAATTTTATTTCAGTGAAGCTGTTTAAGACTGAAAATGCAGTCTTCAAGCACAATCAAGGAGAGGGCTTAAAGGAGACTGCTTTATTAAATGAAAACTCAGCATGTTGATCTCACTTTCTTCTTGTCTCCAACAGCATCTCAGTCTTGCCGTGGTGACATCCAGGAAGGAGAAAAGTATCTGTGAAAGCATTGAGCCCAGTCCTCTTTTGCAGTCTCCCCACCACTATTGTTATCTAACTGTGTTGTGTGAAAACCAGGCTCCAGTGTACTGCGCCACACTTTGCTGCAATATGCTAGACTAAATGTCAGTGCTTCCATTCTGCTCTTGTATACCTTGCTTTCTTGGCACTGTGACTAAGCAGGACATTTTTGTCAGTATACATTAAGCAAGATTCTCTCTTAATACAGCAAAATTTAAGGCTGGAAACAGTTTTAAGCAATAATTATAAAACATGAGTCACGAGCTTTGCATTTTATTTGAAACTTAAATAGTGAAATCTTATGAAAAAGATTTAGAAGCAAGAGCAAAAGACAGGAACCTAGAAGATCACCAGAGATAGATTCTGTTTCTGAGAGCAGGTATGTCAATGTGAAATAGGGAAGGAAAATGGATACACTCATATAAGTAGACTCTCTCCTATTTAATTTTATTAAAATTAAATTCTAATATAAGGCGTAGCATAACTGGCAGTCTTGAAGGATTAGACTAAGGAATGAACAAATCAAACAAACAAATTTTAATCAAAAGAACCTAAAGATGGTGGTGGGATTTGGAGTGGATGCAAAATAAAGCAGTAGAGCCTTAAAAATTGGAGAGTGGGGAAAAATGACAGATTTTTACAGTCCAAATGAGTTAAAAATGTGTGTAATGTGATTCAGGTTTCCACAATACTGACCAAGTGTTTCAACCTTTTGTTGTTTATATAGCACTTCCACATTTGCACATGCTACCCACCCGTGGGATGGTCGAATAAAATATTATTTATTTTCCTTATTTTATGAATAAGAAAAATTGAAGGTCAGTGGAGTTAAAATTACTTGCCCACTTCACCTGGGTGGTAAGCAAATGAGTTGGGCTCCAAACTCAGGACTTCTGACTCCAAGCCCAGCATTTTATTTACTATCTCTTGCTGTCTTCTCAGTAATATGAGTGCTATGTTACAGCAAAAATGCCTGTGATGTTTTGCTAATTGTTACCAAACTCAGCAAAAATAACAATAGATGACCCAGTCAGTCCAAGTCTGACTTTCTAAGCATAAAGCAAGGTCAAGCAGATTAACTTTTCCTTGTCAATTGCATTTTGAAGGAGAAAAAAAGAAACAAACTAGCAATTTGATATTTACATATTTGAGAAAATATCTGTGTTGAGTAAAATAACTTAGAAACTTATATGCAATCATTTATAAGCAATGATATAATAACAAAGAGTAGGAGACTTCTCCACCTCCAGACATGACTCTCTCCTTTTTTTTTTTTTATTTTTGAAATAGTCTTGCTCTGTCACCTAGGCCGGGGTTCAGTGGCACGATCACAGCTCACTGCAGCCTCAACATTCAGGGCTCAAGTGATCTCTCCACCTCAGCCCTCCTAGTAGCTGGGACTACAAACATGTGCCACAACACCTGGCTAAGTTTTTCAATTTTTGTAGAGATAAGATTTTGTCTTGTTGCCTAGAATGATCTTGAACTCCTGGGCTCAAGCGATCCACCTGCCTTGGTCTCTCAAAGTGCTGAGATTACAGGTGTGAGCCCCATTCCAGCCTTAGTTTATCTAAAAGGGGCATGAGGCATTGGGAAATTGATGGTGTAAAGAAAGAATAAGAACATTCAATTCTGTTCGGTTTTGGTCTGTTTCCACCTTTGGTATACAAACAGCGTATTGGAAAGTGTTTCAAAGTGTTGAAGTTTATTGAAACCCTGACTTGCATGTTTATTCAAATGTCTTCCTGAGCTCTCTAAAATATTAATTCCAGAGAAGAAAGCGGTTAGAAATAATGGTTACGTATGTTTTAAATTAAGAACCAACTGAGAAAAATGGTCAAGTCATAACAATTTTTCTGATAATCTGATAACTTTTAAAAATTCTACATGTAAATTTAATATAAGCCATGCGATATTGAATTATTTTATGAAGATACAAATCCCTCTGTACCTATATTCCAATTTTCCAAATAAACTAATGTAAATAATCCTTTTTCTCATAGTAGGTAATGGAATCCTTTTATGCTGTTTCCTCTTCCTAATTTCTATGCTGTTTCCTCTTCTTAATTTCTCACTTAGAACTCATCCCAACTTGTATTCTATTCTCAATATTCCATTAAAATTCTTCTTGCTGACTGTCTCTGATGAGCTCCATCTGGTCAAATTCCAAGGTCAATTTTCTGTCCATCTTATTGGACACTCAGAAGCTTTTGAAAGTTAATCATTTCCTCATTAAAACACTCATCAACTCTCAGTCTTTTTATTTTTCCTCCTCTTACTTGCTGCAGCTTATGCTGAAGTCCCCTTTGTTGGCACTCTCACATCCCTGCCTTCTAAATGTTGAGTTCCTGGGCTCTCTTCTTTCTCTTATTATCTTCTGGATATCATAATTCACTCCCATGATTTAGCATACCATCCTTTAAGTTCCAGACATCCTTTATTCCTCCTGCCTTTCCCATGATAGAAAATGCTGGATTTTTAGTCGGTCAAGCCAGAGACTTAGGAGTCATCCTTCCTTCCTTTCTGTCCCTCGTCTTCCACATTCAATCCACCAGCATGTGCCATCTGTTCTATCTCTGAATACATCTTGTTCTGCCCACTGTTTTCTATCTCCACTTTCACCTCCATGGTCAAAGAAACTGTTATCTCTTGTCTGGATTACTTCAGTAGCTTTCTGACTGTCATCCAACTTTCTGTTCTGTCTCCTCTCCTAAAACCTCTGGCTTCTAATCCTTTACTTTCTAAACAACCAAAGTTATGGATGAATGGATAGATGGATAGATGAATGCATGGAAAAATCATTGTGACAATCTTTTGCTTAACAGTCCTCATTTGCTTCCATTGCTTTACAAGACTCTGCAAAGTCTGTTCTCTCTTTTCCATTTTAACTTCATCTTAAGGAGTTCAACATTAGCTTCACAGGTATTCTGATCTTATGAGAATATGCCAAAACTCTTTTCTACCTCAGGATCACTGCACTTACAGTTTCCTTTGCCTGAAAAGTTCCCTCAGCTCCTTGCAAGCCACATTACTTCTCAATTTTATTTCTTACAGTAAATGACACTTTCAAATGCTTCCCAGACCACCTTATCTAAAGAAGTCTCTCCCTTTCATTCCATAGTTATTACCCAGTACTGCACACTATTTCATTCATTGCTTTAATGGTTAATTGTCTGTCTCTTCCATAGGGTGTATTCTCCACAAGGGCAATATCCATTTCTATCTTGATTACATTTATATCCACAGCATCTAGCAGAGGGTATGGCACAATAGGAAACATTCACAAAATTATTGGCAAATGATTAAAGGAGCTGCACGATAACAGCCAAAAGTATTCAAAAGAATGTGACTTTCTATTTTTGTTTTGTTGTTGTTGCTTTTCTTGGGCATACTCTGAGAGAATTTGTTTAAGCAAGTAGACTAAACACACAACGAAAACCATTATGAGTAGATCAACTGACAGCTAAGAGAATCAAGACAATTTGCAGGAAGGCAGGCCTATCACTAATAGAAAGGAGAAATTCTTTACAATGATTTA